ATCTATCTAGCTTTTTATGGCAGCACCTAATCAGGGTTTGGACCTATATTAAAGCCTGCAATGCGTATTTGTAGAAGGAATAACATCTTTTTCTATTCCATACTTAGAATTTCCAGATTATGAGATAAAGATACAAAATATGATTACTGATCTTCCTTAAGTGGTGGACAATTCAAAATATTCTAGATATGCCAACAGGAATCTGGGACAGTGGGGACAACCAAGCACAGGATTAGAACGCAGGGGGCTTGACACTGACTTTGTTGAAACTAGCCCAGTGAGCAAAAAGCAGCATAGTCCTATGCCAGGCTGACACTGGAGGATCACTAGACTGTCTAGCACTTTCTTGTATCCTATTGTCTCACTAATTTCTACATGGCCAGATGCATGTGATGTTTGAAAATGTTTAAAAAATACCTTAGCAGTATTGTTTTAGAAACTTTATATATGGCTTAAAAAAAATCCTGAAAAATTACTGCTTTTTCTTTGCTGCATTTCATTACAACTGCAATTGATTCAAATTAATTTTTCTCTTTACAGGCATTTGAATAGTGAAAAGTTAAAGTTATTAAAAGTGTAACCAAGGTATGAAGACTTAACTCTGCATACTTTATTTTTGGAAGTTAAAAAATATGTAAGCTAAAAAATGGTTGATACTTCAAATTCCTAACAAATGTGATAAAAATTTCACTTTTGAAACAGAAACATCCTTGCTTCAATACTGTTAAATCAAAGAGCAGATTTTTTTGCATACTGAATCATAAGTGCAATTTCTTTTTCTTTTTTCTTCCCCTACTCTTTTTTTTTTTTTTTTGGTAAACCACCTTCATCTGCTCTGTGAAACCTCTTTGGTGCACGGAATAAGTGCGAGTCTGTCTCTATTTAGCTTGTGAGGTTTAACAGGGCCATAGCCTGGGGTTGGTAAGGCCCTGAGCCATACCACCATCTCAGGTTTTTGATGACACCACAAACCACTTGAGATTTATTATGTTAGCAGATGTCATCAGATCTTGTGTGCACAGGTGCAGCATGCAGTTAGTGAAAGAACACACACTGATGTGGATATTTATATTTGTACCCATACTCTCAATGGTTAGGAAATGACCCCTTGTGTCTGTTCTGGGCAGCATGGACTTTCAACTCCATTGCAAGAGCCTATCTGGAAAGCTCTTGAAGTCTTTTCCATAGATATAATTTGCTGTGATGAGTAGCTATATCTTAAGGGAAAGACACTCTGTTTGCTTTTACAATCACTGCCTGCTAGAGAAGAGGCATAGCAGATGACAGCTAACAGCTTATCCTTATGTTTTCCTCTTACAGGACAATATACTAGATGTGTGTTCTGCTCTCCTTAATAAAAATTGTACAGAGACAGCTCTCATCTATTAACTTCATAAAAATGTTCATATCTGACACTTTATGAGCACCTCAATTTAAGTAGTTCTATATCTTTTAAAATAATTATGAAATAGTCAAAACTACTGACTGTAGGCCATAAGTAATATGAATGTTTAGGCTCGTTAACATATTATATATTTTAAAATTTCTACATAAACTCCAAATAATTACTCAATTATTTTAAAAAAGGATGTAGATTTCATTTAGCTCTGAGTCTTAAATATTCCATTATTTTCATTCTATACGCTAAATTTGCACAGATTCTGGTAAAATAACAAACAAAATATAATGACATAATAAATCAGTATATATCTTTTAATAATAGGAAATACTATAAATAAAAACACATTTCTTATATTTTTGAGAAGTAGAAAAGACCAAATAAACACCTTTGGAGTAATGACTGAAAATTACTGGTTTAGATGGGATAGAGGGATTACTTCAATTATGACATAGAGCATTGTAATAATGCATGCTTTTTAGAAATAATTATATAGTGATTATTCCCAGAGATAAACACAAGCAGATGTTGCTAGTACATTTTTAAAAAATCTTAATTTGAAGAAAACATACAGAAACTGGATTACTAGTTAATTGGCTTTAGGAAGAACAAGAAAATCCGAAGTGAAAATATACTTGGGAAGCTTCCAGTAAGTTCTATCGAATGAATGAATGATGCCTGAAACTTTCAACAGAAAAATTTTTTTTTAAATACTGGGTGTACTTCAGTTATGTGTGCCAGAGGTTCAAAGGGCTTATGTTTTATCAGATAGTACTTTTTTTTAATGAATTGGTTTTACTTGTAACAAAAGATGAGCACAAAAAGTTATTAGACATTAATGATATTCTTGAAAAGATTTTTAAGTAAAATCATTTTAACACGAGCACCTATTTTAAACAGTCCCTAATTTACTTATATTTATTTACACCACAAAATATGCAAACTGGGAAACCAGCCGATATTGTAGATTAAAAAATGGTCATTTGCCAATTAACAAAAAATTAAAAAGCAACGATACATTCATTGAAGAGACTACAAATTAACAGAATGATTTTCTATAGGACAGGCTTGAAAATCCATTTTACTTGAATAATCTTGAGTATCATTTAATGATGATATGTGTACATATTTGACAGACAGAAGAGCGATTTGTATAGAAATAAGTATCCTCGTAAGCTTCACATGTCAAAAGAAACACATGACATGCAAATACAAAAAGATAATCTATGGAAAGCCTGAACATGACATGCAATGGTACACTTATTACCAAATAATATGCTTAAGAAGGCATCCACTGACAGGTAACACAAACTAAATTCCTTGAAGTCATATGAGAGTGGAGTAAATTATTTTCTCTTCCCATATATTCATATTTTCACTTGAAAAGATGCTTCCTAATTAGAATTACATTCTCTACAATATCTTTTCTCCTTTGCATGGGGTAGATGTTGAGAAGGATTGATGATTCTGCTATGAGTTTCAAACAATAACAAGAGAGAAGACTTTCTGTGGCAAACTTACAGAAGGATTAGAATTTGGTAACACTTTAAAATATTCTCTCTTCACTTTAAGTAATTTTGTTAAAAATTGAGCTCACCAAATTTTCGTATTTTGTATTTGGTTCTCTAGAACTAAGTATGATTTATCTGACTATAAACCTATTAGTAGGCAATCCTAGAAGAGAAACAGATTCACTTTGTTACCCACCTGAATTGACTGCCTGGGTAGACTGAATTATAGCTACACCAGCTAAGTGTTTAAAATCGCTTAAATTGGAGGAAGATTGAACTTAAAAGTCAATTTTCCATAATGTCGCAGTTGAATGTGTAGATAGTGTGTATTCCACCCTCCTTACCTTCATTTAGTCAATTCTCTTCCCAAAGTTATATAGCCAAGGAAATATAAGTAGTATGCTGGGGCTTTTGGAGAACAATTGGGAACTGTGAAACTTGAAGAGATTCAACTCGTGTAAAATTCTTCATTTTCTTACATCCAAATGGCTCAATCTTTTTTTTGAAATTGAAAATCTTATTCTATGAAAATCTTATTATCATTACTATATGAAAATAGACATGTGTATCATACATGTACAGGCAAAGATCTGTATAATGTTTATGTATGTATAGGAAGGGAGGCATTTTGGGGGTAATGAGGCCAAATGTCTTCTTTGTTTTATAATGTGTATTGCAGGAACTACAGACCTGAACAATACTGTTTACGTTCTCCAGGACTTGGGAGGGTAAACATAATTGGGATTAAAACACTGACATGTTCACATTTAGTAGAGATAAGAACAATTCACTGGGAGCGATTCCGGTCTCACTGGTAATCACATAATTGAACAGGGTTTTTAGAGGATATTTGAAGCTATTGTTGTGTTGTGCAATTACATAATTAGTCAGGATCTCTGCAATAAAATCTTTTCTAAACACGTGTGGGTTAGTTCTAAGTAAATTTAGGCCCAGGTTATAGTTTCATACTTTTTAATAGTTTACATTTTGGAGCAGAATTTTTATAACAGCCTTTAAAAAAATCGTTTTACCCTGCAACTACAGGTACTTAAAGATGAATATAATTAGATTACTTTAAAACTGGGTACTCCCCCCCCCAAAAAAACAACCCCAACCCTCGACATATACTTTCAAATGTGCTAATTAAAACGGCTTTATTTGGGAAGGTTAATTCACTATCGAATCTCTTCTGGCGTGTTTACTTCTGGAGCCCAGGGGTTGCGTATTTCTTGGGTGTCGCTCGTCTCTTTCACCCACATAACCATAAATGACTGCCATGCACTTGGTATGCACAGAAGTCAAAGCGCTCCGGCTCTCTTTTGGGCGCTGGGAGTGATCACGCCATGCAGGGAGGACTCTTTCAGGTTTGGGGTTTTCTGTTTGGTTTTGTTTCTTTTTTTTTTTTTTTTTTGCACGGAAACCAGCGTGGCCCGGAGAAGTTGCGCCCCAGCAACGTGGCGGGAAGTAGGGAAGAAACAGCGACTCCGGCCGCCTAGGCGATCATCAGCACCGTCCTCCCGGGAGGCCCTCCGCGCCGGCACCCCAACCTATCCCGTGGCGCCCCGAGGACGCACGGCCGGGGGAGCACAAAGGCACGGGGGCGCGCAGCACCCCCCCCCCTCCGGCAGACAGGCGCGCCCGCGCTGTGCCACTGCGCCCCCTCCCCGGCCTCCCCACCACGCCCTCTGCCCCCGGCAGCACAAAGACCCCGCTCGCTCACCCACCCGCGAGGGGTGCCCGCCCCGCGCAGGCCGCCACACCCATCCAGCCCGCGCCCGCCCCACTCCCGCCTCCCGCCTCCCAGCCCCGGGCGCCCTGATGAATATGCATCGCGCTGGGCCCGCCCCCGACTCCTCCTTTCGGGCTCCTTCCCGCCGCCAGGCGGAAGCGAAGAGCCGCGCTTCCCGCGCACCGGGGCCCGGCTGGGCTGCAGCGGGGCGGGGCCGTTGAGCGGGGAAGCTGGAGAAAGAGAAAGCCGGGGAGGCGGCGGCGGCCGGTGGTAGCGGAGGACGCAGAGCCCCGCCGGCGCAAGCGCCGAGCTCCGGGCAGGGCGGCGGTTCCGGGGCTGCCCCTCCGCCGGCCAGGCCAATCCGAGGGCGGAGAAAGGGCGACGCGCGACCCCGTGGCCGCGCCGGTGGTGTCTGCCGAGCTCGGCTGCCACCCCAACCGCAGCCCCGCTAAAACAACAATAAAACCCACCCCCACACACCCGCGCGCACACCCGCACGCACACACGCACACCCGCCCACACACACTCTGGACTGCGTTCAAGTCAACCCTGAGAAAGTCTGCAAAGGCGAGGAGGGAACACTGGATGCTCAGATTGAGGAGCTGCCTGCTCTGAGACTTGACTTTGACCTCTTTCTTCTTGGGCCAAGGAGTGTGACGGTGCAGAATTAATCATTTTAAACAGTATCAGACTACTCCCGGAGAGGGGGGAAAACTAACAAAAAGAGACACCAAAACCAGTCTTTGAGAACATCCACAAATCTGTACCTGAGACCTGCGAAGTCTGCGGCCCAGGGTTCTGTGACAGACTCAAGATCTCTTTTATTTAGTGCAATACAGTGTGATGGTATGTGGCTTTGAAATGATGGGGTTTACTGGCTGGTCTTTGCACCCCTCCCACCTCCGGCACAGATTTTACTTTCTGTTTGTTTGCTGTAACATGGCTGGTTTACCCTCAGTGTCATTTCTGCTTTACAGGTTGAGCTACAGTGCTGAATTTCCAGATCTAATGCAAATACGGATTAAAAAAAAATTGGCAACTTCAGTCTATGCGACACTTTTTTTTTATGGCGGGAATAACGTTTGCAAATCCAAACTGCAGAATCTAATGTTTTTCCTGCTTTCAGGAAAAACTTTTTTTTCCCCTTCCTACTCTCAATCCCTTTCTCCCTCAATGTTGGAAAAAAAAATTACAATGCAAATAATACTTTAAGTTGTACCTTGAGCATACTTTAGCCCATTCCTTTTCTTGAAGCATTCTTTTCTTCATTTGAAGGGGCAGCTTTGTTGCATAGTCTCATTTAAAAATATTTTTTAAGTGAGAGAAATGGTATTGTGTGTTGGATTTTTTAAAAAATCTGTCTTCATTCTGGGATTTAGTTCTCTTACCTGCACCCCATAATACTGGAAGTTGTGGCATGAAGTTGTTAACCCTCTTGCCGACATCAACAGCCACCAGGTTGTTTTTTTTTTTAATATTACGATGGATTTCTTCCCACTCCTGTTAATATATTTTTAAAAATTCCTACCCTGCTGTTTCTACTCTGGGATTCCCTGCCCTTCCCCCCTCCCCTCCCCTCCAGCCTAAGTCTGTGTGTGTCTGTGGGTCTGCCTCTTCCCTTGTCCTCTCTTCGCCAGTGCGTCTGGGGCACATTTTAATGCACAATATCCCCATCCATTAAGTTGTGGTTGAATGCAGAGTGTGTGAGGATTTGGCAGCTTTCAGGTTGGGGGGGGGCGGTTCGGGAAGCTAGTTTCGACTTTGACACAAGATGCCGAAGTGGCGTGATCAGAATTATTATTAGGTCTGTGAACGTGGCTATCTTCTCCTCCCGGTTGGAAGAACTGCCATTGAACTTGAGAGGGACAGACAAGATCTCCAAGTTCTTGGTGTCCGCCCCCCCCCACTTACCCCCCCCTCCAGTACAGTAGCTGGCAGGGAAAAGGCGCCAAAATACACAAGATTAACTTTGACTTTCTTTGAGTGGATCTTATAGCACCATCCTTTGTAACTTTAACTTCTAACAGGAGGGAAAAAGTTAACTTTTGAACCCATATTTGAACAGACATTTAAATCAGCTCTAAAATGGAATAAGTCCAGAAAGTCTACACGCATGCTTATGTGGTTAGAAAAGAATGCACGTGTAAATAAGCAGCCGTGCATGTGTGTATGTGACTTAGGAGTTTGAGATTTAATCAAAATCAGAATAAGTGTGACTTCCCAGTGCATTCAGTAAATGGGGGAAGGTCATTGTGAAGTATGGAAGTTGGTCTTTAAGCAGCCAAAGTGAAAACTGCAAAGAGTTGTGAAACACAAAACGTTGTGGTTTCCAGTTTTACATTTGAGGTTTGATGTTTTCATTTAATGGTATGAGAGATGGAGAAAGCTCCAGTGCTGAAAAGTCCCTATTAAATCATATGTGGGCAAAGGTCAAACACTCCAACTCACTGATACAATATACTGCAGATTCCTGCTTAGTGATGAGGAGCACAGGAAAAAGTACTTGGGCAATAAAAGTATTAGAATGGTAATTATCATCGGTGGTTGGGACTGCATTCTTGTGCACTGGGAAAAGGTTTTTACTGGCCCTGATGAATTTTAAAGCTGGGTATTGTTGAAAGCTATTTTAATAGGAAATTGATTAGCTGAGTGTTTCATACAATAAATGGTGACAGATTCATTGTTTGATGTCCAAAATAAATTCCTTTTATTCTTTAGCAGACGCAGGCATCCGTTTAATTTTAATATGGTCAGACTGAGTAACAACATAATTTTGAGTGAATGTGATGTCACAGACATCTGTAACTTTGTTTTTGGAGTTTGTGGCATTACACAATTTGACAGTATTATTGTTTGAAATTTATTAGCTTGTTGGGCTCTTAAAAGGTTTCAGATACATTCAGAGATAAAGTTTGCTGAACATATTTTGCATAGGCCCAGTGGTTTATGCTTTCTCTTTTAATTATTTCTTACATTTTAATTTAAAGTTAAAGTGTGCAATTGTCTACTTTAAAAAATAGAATAGCAGTTATTAAAGCAGGACTAGAGGAAATGGTGTAGAAAGTTTAATGTGGTCTATGATGCACTTTTTATACTTAATACTGAATGTAAGGACTACTTGGCCCATTTTGGATGTAGCTTTCTAAATGTCTCTTTAAAACTGATCCATTTTCAAATGTCACAAAGCATGTGTGGATGGGCAACAAAAGCCAATTTACATGTCAAAATACAATGATGTATAGTTTTAATTTAAAGGTTAGCTATTTTGAGAAGGGCAAGACTGTAAGTACAACTCTCAACATCAGCAGAGAAAACTCTGTGCATGGGAGAGTGTATGCAACCTTTGTAGTATGTACTGTGAATGAAGCCAGGCAGGCAACTGTTACCGAGATTTTTTTTTTCTTCTTCAAAGTTTAAAATAAATCATGCAAAAGTTACAGGCCAACTGCTGACTTTGTAATCTGGGGAACAAGATTGTGAAGTTGGGAATTTCTGATGATGTACTGAATTCATGTCTGTAAGAAGTGGGAACTGGCTACCCCTTCCTTGGAGGCATCTGGCCCAGTCTGTGTTCAGATTGAGTTGTAGCTTGTAAACGTGCTGGGAGATATAGGCACACTTACTGGGATTTCTTTTTTAATAGTTAAGTACAGGCATTTCAGCAGTGACATTATTAACAGCGTCATTTTTCTCCTTTAGTTTTGTCCCCTGGGGAGAGCAAACAGTTCCCAGAAGGGTGGTGGTGGGGAAGCTGAAGATTATTTATTCATTTTAGTGAAAGGTAAAGGGCTTGCAATGGGGGTGGGGAAAACTAATAGGTTATGAATTCTCTAGTGGGGAAAAATTGTTACCCTAATTTGACAGTGGTAGTTTAAGGGCTCAGAGAGCTGGGCATGATTTTGCAATCCCCATCAAGTGTAGACAGGTTAGTCTTAATACTTGTTGGTTGTTTATCTATGCATTTTTTAGTGGATTTTGGTGTTGCTACTTGTGTTTTCCATGCTAAACTTATATGATTCTGGTGTGTGTGTGTGTGTGTGTGTGTGTGTGTCATTTGGGAAAAAGAAAGATCTTTGTGTATGGTGAAGTGAACACTTGGGAGTTCTGCAAGCCAGTTTCCTGAGGTCAGGAGGTCATCTGTCTCTTTTGTATTTAGTTTTAAAATATTGATATTGGCGATGCAACTAGGGTGTGTGGGATTATTGAACCTCTCTGAAAATCACATACAAGAGCTAAAAAAGTGAAAAACTCATTGGGTGTATTAAAAGTGATAGCTTTGTTAAACTCTAAGAAACCTTATATGAAATTGCCCAGGCTTTGCAACCTGTCACTGCAATTTCTTTAGAAAGAAAAAGGGTAAAAAAAAAAACAAACACAAAAAAGTATTAGGAGATATTTGAGTTGTTAAAATCCTCTCAGGAGGTCAGTATAAGGCTCAAACTGGGTAGCAATGCCTATTTTTTAGTATACAATTATGTTTCGAAAAATCTACATGCCTGAACCTCTGGCATTCCTTTTAGAAACTAATAAACTTTCTGTTAGAAAAGACCTCCCCTTCCTCAATGATTGTGATTGGGAATGGGTGATCTAGGGAGGGGGTCACTAGTAATACTGATTCATAATGAATTTTCTTGTGACTGAGGGAGCCATGGACTTTTCTAGCTTTTCAGCCAGGGTTTGGGGGTGAAAGAAATGGACTGTCTTTTATCCCAGTTCCCTAACTCTCTCAGAGGGAGAGAGGAAGAGAGAAGAGTTTGGGCAAGGTAAATAATGCCTGAGTGTTTAAGTCCATTTTGATAGTATTAACACTTTTTCAGAGATATTTTAAAATAAGTTTTAATACTATGACACAGAAATGCTGGAGGAGGGGGGGGGGGAAGGGAATAAAATGCATGCACTCTCCCAGCTCCTCCTCTCTACTCTTCTCCCTGGAATGTGAAAGATTGATATTTCTCAAAGCAGAGGTGACTGACAAGAGCTGAGAGAAGTCAGACAAAGCAGATGCCCCGTGCACCCAAACTCACCAGTCCCTCAATCACAGAACACTCTCCTGGAGTTCTTCCTAAGAAGGCCTGAAGGGACCTTGGCATTGGCTGAACAAGAAGCAGTGCTTTGTGGGGTGTCAGCTATCCTGACTGTGGCTCCCAAGTCTAAGACTCAAGGCCATGCATATAAAGCACCAGCAGCCACTATGCCCTTCCTTCCAGAATGTCTTCCCCCCCCCATCACTTCACCATTATTGCTTTCTCATTTTCCTTTTGCTTGGAAACAAATCAAAACCCAAAGCTACCAAGCATCCTCTATGGCCCAAGATATACCCAGCTAGAAGCACTGCACAAAACACAAGCATGGGGCACCTGAAGAGTTTTGATCCCCGGAGGGATGGGCAGGGAGGCCCCATCTTCACTTCCCTGGGGTCTTACCTGGGTCTGATGCTGCTTCTTGACCCCTGGTGCTGCTGCAGCTTTTGTGAATTCTTCTGTGTAATGGTTCTCAATTTTTCCTTTTTCTTTTTTTTTTTTAAGCTTGGGAGAAACTTTTGGATGGAAACGAGAGTTTTAGAATGGCAAAAGGAAATGGTTTCTGTTGGGAAGGGAGACTAATAAGAGGAGGAGGAGTAGAGATGTCTGAAGACACTTGCTCAGGGCCCAGCACTGGGCCTCTTTTGCCAGGGGACAACGGTTGGTTCTGGGCTCTCTGGCTGAAAAGAGTGCTCTCTGGGTGCCAGGTTTTCACTGGGGGTGGTGTGGTGAGGAGGGAGGGAGGAAGGGAGGGAGGGAGGGAAGGAGAGAGATGGGCACTGGATTTTTAAAGAGACCCTGAAATAATGGCTCCTGTAAGAGTCCAGGCATTCAAAGAGGTGTGTTCAAGGACATGAGTGCATTTGTGCCAAGGGGAATGTCTTTTATGGTAAATTAACTCCAGTTAAATTGAATATTTGTTCAAAGGGAAACTCCAGTAGTTAAAGCTGGTATTATCAGTGGCGCTTCCCCACCCCCTCCCACAGAATCTGATGAGGGTGAGAAAAAGGATGCAAGGTATTGTGCAGTATAAAATGATGTTTTGGGGCTTGTTCTTTTTTTTTCTTTTTAAATTTATGATGAATTTGCCTAAAATTTATGAAAGGAATAAGTATGGATTAACCCCAACTGTCACCTCAATTCTTTCATCTATAAAGACTGTCAACTTTATTCCAGCTTTTCAAAACGAAGAAATGACTGGCACAAAGGAAATTAACATTGTCAGTAGTCTGAGTAGAGAATTTTCCGTGGTGGTGGTGGTGGTGGGGGGGTGTTGCTCCTTCCCATAGCGCATGCCCTAAAGGGTTAACTTGCCAGCTTTCTCAGTTTCCCTCCACTTTTACCTGTCTTCCCAGACCCACAGCCCTTCTCCTTGGCCTCAACTCCCCACCCCCAGCGCCCTTTCTTCTTTGGGCTCCGGGTTTACGGGGGCTGCAGCTGGTAGATTTGGCAAGCTCGCCTCATTAAGAGCGCTCTTTGAAAACGGACTGTGTTTGAGCATTTCCCTAATGAGGACAGGACGGGGTTAAAAAGTGACCATTTCATGGTTGACTTGAACCTGCCTACTTTTCTTGATGTGTCGTTGTGAAATGTTTGATGTGGATAACTCCCACTTGGTGAAGGAAAAAGTCACTGGTTTCTTCAGGTCCTCTGGGGGAGGAGAGTTGGGGAGGGGGGCGGCGACGGCAGGAGCGCAAGGCACACGGAGGAGAAAGTTGGGAGACGTCGAGAGTGTGAAAAGCGGGAAGGGGAATTTGCAAAGCACCTCCCAACCACGGGACAGCAAGGTTGGGAGCTGGGCTAGCCGTGTCCGGGGGTAAGGGTTGTCCAGGCTGCCCCGAGCTAGGTAGACGCCCGCCGGGAGCCCCAGCGCTCACTTTTCTTTTCTCCATTGTCTGGACAGCCTTTGATTTCAGCACCTCCCTGCCCTCGGCAAATAACCAGAATTGGGCTGGGGGTGGGGTAGGGGTGGGGTGTGAGGGGGAGGGATGAGGTGTGTGTATTTGAAAGGGAGCTAGGAAAGTCACTTCCCTCAAAATCCCCAGAATCAAGTTCATTCACTCGGGGCCCGAGGCTCAAGATGGGGTGGGGGCGGGGAAGTAGCACTGGAGGAAGGCGGGCACCCCGTGGCTCCTGGCCCGCCGCCTCCTGAGGACCCGAGTGGCACACGCACCCCGCGCCCGCGACTGCGCGCGCTGTCGATCCGCAGCCCGGGGCGCGCCTCGGCCCCGCCCAGTCTGCCCTCCTGTGGGGAGGGAGCCGCTTTCCTCCAGCGCCCTGTGGGTGGGGATTGGGAACCAGCCAGCAGGGCTGCAGGAGAGTGCTGGAGAAGGAGGAGGGAGCCCGAGGCGGCTGTGGCGCTGCCCGTGCTCCCGCTCAGAGCCAGGCCACGTGCACCGGGCACCCCTAGGGAGGGCGGCAAACCCCAGCGAAGCGCTGTGCGCCGCTTTGGTGTAGGCGCTTTGGGTGCCATTCGGCGCTAGGGAGACTGGAGAAGACCCCGTACCCTTTATACCTGCAAATGTGGGCTCTATACTGGGCCATCAGGGCGGAGCGCCTTGTCCCCCAAGTTTGCACTGGTGCTCCCCAACTACTTAAGCTCAAGTTCACTCAGACTCTTGCCTGTTAGGCCCCCCTCCTCTTTCCCTTCAGCGACGGGGTGGGCAGACCGCGCTGGCCTTGGGTGAGAGGCTTGGCGCCCTAGCCCCGGCCCTGGGGCGGCCTGGGTGTGAGGGAATTTTCCATTCCTTTCTGGAGCCCAGGCCGGTTCAGTGCTTCTCCCACTAGGATGTTCCCACGGCTTAAAGAGTCCGCAGCGGGCACCAAAATACCTCTTGCAGAGAGTGATTTTCGGGGTGGGTGGGGAGGATTGCGAAAAGTAGAGCTTTATTATGTTTTTAAAAGTCGTACTGTTGCATGGTTATGATACCTTTAACAAACGGGGGAAGAGAAGGAGCAGGGAGGGAGGGAGAGGGAGAGAGAGAGAGAGAGAGAGAGAGAGAGGGAGAGAGAGAGAGAGAGAAAGAGAGAGAGAGAGAGAGCGCGAGGCAGAGGCGCGCAGGAGGAGGAGGAAGGTGGGGGTTGGGGGTGTGGAGAAAGGCTGGTGCAAAAGGAATGCGCGTTTGCAGGAGGAGGAGTAAAGCGATGATTGTGTAATTAAATAATAAAACAATTCTTAAGTCTGATTTGGAGAGAGCTCGAGCGGGGTCCAGAGGGTGGAACCGGTGAATTTTTCAACTTCCAAGTTTTGCAACGAAAGAAAGCGAGAGAGGAGGGGGGGGGGGGGAGAGAAAAGAACCTAAAGCAGAGGAGTTTGGAGTCGAGCGGGAAAGCGGGATTTATCGTTTGGGATTTTTTTTTTTCAGGAGATCGTTTCGATCCCCTGGGTTGTGAGCAGCAGCGGGCGGCAGCAGCAGCAGCAGCCGCCGCCTCCACGCTTAGCCAGGTCAGAAGCCAGAAGCCGGGCGAGTCGGGCAGGCGGGCGGTCGGGCGGGCGAGAGAGCGAGCGGGCAGGCGCGGAGGAGCCGGCGCGGGCGGCATTGGCGGCGGCTGCAGCGGCTGCAGCCGGGGACCGCGGGGCTGCAAGCCTCTTCCGCCCGGGAGATCTGCGCTCGCGCCCCCTCCCTCACCCAGGGCCTCTCCCTTCTCCCCCACCCCACCCCGCCCCCACCCGGCTCTCCCTCGCGCGCGCCCCGCCACCCGCGCGCACTCGCTCACGCTCCCCCTTGCGCACACATGGTCGGCTGGCGGCAAAGTTTCACCGGCGAACACCACTCCGGGATCCTGCCGCAGTGTTCGGAGCTGTAACCTTGAACTTTCCTAGTGCGGTGACACATTTCTCCTTGCTTTCCCTGCCGCCCGCCCTCCTGCGCCCCCTTCCCCGCCTTTTTTTTTTTTTTTAAAGCATTTCACCCACAACCATCATCCCAACCTAACCCACACCGAACCTTCGTGCATCCCCAAGCCCCCAACAACAACAACAACAACTGCAAAAACAAAACAAAAAAAGAAAAGAAAACAAATTCCCCGATCCTGGCGAAAAGCAACTAACACCGGCGGTGGCGACGGAGGCGGCGGCAGCTCGGCGAGCACGGCCGGCCAGCGCGCCCGGACTGCAAGAGGGTTAAAAGTGTAGATTGGATTTCACCCCAGGAAATCTAGCACGCCGAGTGAACTTGAATCTTTGGCTATTTAAGGAGGACTGGGTTTGTTGTGAAGTTGCGGTGATCCGGCACAGAGCCCCGTCCTGATTGATCGCATCGCGGGGCTCCGATGATTGTAACATGAATAGATGAAATTCTTGCTTCTGGAAGATTTTCTTGGGCATCTCCGGGAAAGTGCGTTTTAAGGCGAAGTCATGATGTATTCTCCTATCTGTCTCACTCAGGTACATATCTTCGTCGCTTTCTCCGGTTTTCTCTCTGGCCCCATATGCTTTGTTTGGTTTTATTGCTCTGATTCGTGGGGACAATTAAAGGCTTTAGGTTACCTCCACACATCCTTGTCCCATGGAGAAGTGGCCCAGAGTTGCGGCAGGCTTTGAGGGGTGGCGTGGGAGCCCTGCGCCAGGCCTCTTCCCCCCGGCTGCCGGGCGCGCCCGGCCCCCCGAGCCTTGCGCACGGGGAGTTGGGCACCGGGCCTTGGAGGCTGCCGGGGGATGGGCAGAGCCAAGGCCCGCGAGCTTAAGCCCTTTTTGCAGGCCCCTAAATGTGGGCTGTACCGCTGTTTGGCACCCCTGCGCTGGGGTGCCGGCCGCTCCTCGCCTCCACTCTGCGCCTGGCTCACGGAGGCGGACGAAGGCTTTAGAGGAGCTTTAGGGGACTGAGCTCTTAACAGCAATGAACTTGGGCTAGGGGGACACAGGCACCAGGCTGTGTGGGCGCCTCTGGACTTTGCTGCAAGCAGTGGGCGGGCAACGAAGCAAGTCCGAGGTTGTGGTCCCTGGACCCATTCTTTTGCTTTATTTGAGGACCTGAAGTCCTGATCGGTAGTGACGCTGGCACTTTGGGCTTTCCAGTGACCACACCACTGAGGTGGCCTTTACCTTGCCAAGAGTTTAGATGGTTGTGGTGAATGTTAAGGACTTTCCGAACTTGCTCATTTTGGGGGAGACCTATACATTTGACGGCATTTGAGCATACTGAGAAGAAAAGTAATACTGGGAAAGTAAGGTGTTTTTTTTTTTAACTTTGAAAATTGCTCTAATTTGGGGAACAAGGTTATAAAACAAAACCCTGGTTTTGTATTTGAAAGCACCGACACAATTTCTATCACTTTGAACCAGTCAAGTGGGTAAGTGGAGACACGGCACAGACTTACCTGGGCGCAGTTTTCATAGCTGCCCTGCCTGCGAACTAATCTACTGATGAACTAATTAACTAGCTATTATAGAATTGTTATTTGAAACAGTATATTAAGTCTTTAAAGTCATGGGACAATGTGCTTCAGTTTTTAGGTAGGACTATGTGGCATGATTGATCATCTGATAACTATTTTCTTTAACATTGCCGTAAACACTAAGCACTTAAAGAAATGTTGGCTAGGTTTGGCTGTGTTAAAAATTAATAAAATCTAATAGGACGATGCATTTTTATAATGGACAAATAATTAAGATTTCAAATGTATGACAATTAGAAACCATTGTGATTCAAAAGGACTGATGCACTCATAAATTGTGAATGAAGATGAAAACAATGATAAGGCTTATTCAATGATTGGATACAGTCCTGTAGCTTTTTGGCTGACACATTTTTTATTGTTTATATTTTGTTTGGCATGTGAATATGATTAACTTAGATATGGCTATTTTAAGCAAGTAAACGTGAACTTTAATTTAACAAAACTGGAAAAAATGGGCTGCTGAGTTATTTGTACTTTCAAAGCTAGAAATGATAGTATCCAATGATTATGATGAAACTGTTTCAGGTATAGCGAATTGCCTGCAATTGTTAAAGTTACTTTACTGCTACTCATCAGTAGGATTTTTTTCTCTTTCTGGTAAAGTATGGCCATTTATAGTATTTTTAAACTGAGATCAACCATAACTAATTGACATAAGTTTTCAATTTACAAAGTACTGCATCATTCATTCTCACCTGTAAAAGGCCGAAAAATTGTGTTTTCTGGATTTTTATGTATAGTTTCAGCCTTTCTGGAAACACTACTAGTGATAACATTGCATTTTTGTGCTCTAAATATGCATTGAAAAGTCACTAGTTTTATCTTACTTTGTGTATGTTAAAAATTATTGCAGAATCTGGACATATGAATGTTAGGAGCACATACAGCATAATTACTCAGCTATCATATTAGTATTCAAGGATTCATGCAAACTAATTTATGATGACTAAATAGTCTTTGTTATTTTAACAATATAAATTTGGGCTGACATATTAAAACCTTTTTTTTTTGAAGGCCTATAATAGAGAAGGAATTTCAGTTTCTTAAGTCTTCCTTAACTAATAATCTCTGAGTGAAGTTATAGGTAGTAGAAAATATTGCAGAAGCTAGGACACATTTACAGTGCTCTTTTTGTATCAGATCAATAGTTTTAATCTTGTATTAGAAGAGCCTAATAGCTATAGCACAACTCCCTTTACAACATGCACATAGGAAAAAAAACGTAACATTCTTATTTGGTGGGAACTTTATAAAGTATTGCAGTTCTTTCATTGAGATAATCTAGATTTTAGCAAGAATTTTAATTTAAAAGGAGTTACTGTTTAAGTTGATATTTAGCAAAATATACTGTAGTGTCAATATAAACTGACATTTATAGATCAGTATAAATAAGCTGTAAGTGGAAAATTAAGACCCATTAGGTGATTTGAGTTTTCTTGATGTAATATAAACCCTTTAATATAACTTTCAATTGGCAAGATGACATTGAATTTTAAAAATTTTGTTGTCATAGTTGTTCTTTAAGTACATTTTGTCATGGTTTATTATTGTATAGTTGATGCTCCAAGAGCACCTACTTTCCCTCCACTATATTGGTCCAATTTTCCATTCCTTTCATGGAAACCATTGTTTCCAGCAAGGAAAGCAAATATATCTAGTTAAAATTAGAAAGTTTACTTTTATTTTGAAATTTGTAACTTGCTTATTTGTTTCATCAGTTTAAGCTAACTAAAGGCAGTTTTGTAAGAGAAAGGATTATTGAACATCAATGTATTTTAATAAGCATTATGACTTGCATATTGCCTTGGTATAGAGCCTTTACGTCTTAACTCTTGTGTTTTGATTTTAAAGAATAATTTTAGTAAACGTTTAGTGTTGTAATAATTCAATTGTTAGGCTATTTGAATACCTTACTCACTTTTTTTGGAATGAGAAGTTACTTTGCTCCACATCCCCATCACTTGCAATCATTAAGACTGTATTGCTTCTCAGCATTAGAAAACAGTCTCACATGGGAGATGACATTTAGACATGTTAATGCAAAAATGTATGTGACATATTGCAAATCTCCATTACTACCATTTGGGGGGATCTGTCCCCTTATTAAATAAGTGTTTCACTTAAAAGGAATCCACATCATTGTGAGGCCCTGAAAGATATGAACAAGGCAGAGAGAAAGTTTGCTACCTCTCATTATCAATCAGCAGAAATGCGTGTTTTAAAACAAGATTCGGCATCAATAATAGTAAACTCAAGCTAATGTATTTTTATGTGTATTGGCAAGGAGTTTCCAAATTCAACTGTCAAATTTGCATTTTCATTGTTTAAAGTAATTTGTTAAATTTTTGAAATTTGGTACAGGATAGATGATGTTTTTGTTTTACTATTGAAACTTCAATCTAGTTAATTGAAACTGTGTGTGATGTCTTTATAAGAAAACAAAATGTCACTGAACATTGTACTTAAGAATGTTAAGTACTTAAGTGTTATCTAATTGCTTAATATCTATTAAAATAATATTGTACTTTTGAAAGCAGGGCAAGGGTAAAAGGAGTGAGACAAAGCTCCCTCATGTGCTTCCTACATTCTCAAGCTTTTAGTTTATGAGCGCATATACGCATGTTTTTCAGTCATATCAATAAATCATAGTGAAAGTCAGGTCATAGGAAGTGAGTTCCCAAAGCACATTTAAGTCCACATTTCCTCGAGCAGGCTTTCTTTTTGCATATATTTTTGAAGAGGGATAAACAAAGTTTTTATAGTTACAGTGAAAACTAAAAGCATGGCATCTGAAAGTGTATGGAGATAGGGAGGTCTTATCATGGGCTGTGGTTGCTGTGAGCAGGGCTGCCTTCCCACACAAAGAACAGATTGTGGTTTAACTCTTTCCATGGCCTAGTTTAATGTGCTCACATAGTAACTGAATTGTTCAAATCTCTGCTGGAAACTACTGATCGGTTTAATGATTTCCTCTATGGCATTTGGTTATGCCTCATGCTGTGATGTAATCAGCTGCATTCTGTATTGTTATAAAATTTTGATTCATATTTAACTCTGCTGTAGGAATGTTTTACGGCAGTGTTAGAACACTTGATTAACTACATTATTGACTAGAGAGGACCTACACCTATTCTGTGTCTGAACTTCAAACTACTGACGTGTTGCAGTCTTTAGCATTGAAACTTTGAATTTCATCTTAAAAATGTATTCATAGCTACATGGAATTTGGGGGCCACCTTCTTTGTTGGTGTGTCATTCGTTTACTTTCATCACCTTTACCTAGAGTTAGTCACTCTGCGGGTCTGAATAGAAGTTAGTCCACATAGCTCAGGGTGACTAACACGAATGTCTGTAATTCTCACTTGGGATGTAATCAATTAGAGAAAGTTATTTTGTGGTTGGGAAGACAATACAGTCAATGTGATCAGAAAAAATGAAGTGCATGTTTTCATCTGCCTCAGATCTTGGCTTGTTGCATACATACACAGTGTGCATGCACAGTACCTTATGCCTTTTCTTCCAACAACAATCAGCCTCAGCTTATCAGATAGGTTTTTACGAAAGTCAGGAAATAATGAAACACTGACTGCATTTGGAAGTAACTTGAAATATCTGTGAGTAGAGATGATCTACCATTTCTTCCTGTGTCCTCTCTATAAAAAGCTTAGAAGAAGAAACAGGCAGGAACAATGTGGAGCTTAAAGGTAAACCACTGAGATCAGAAGACTGGTTCTAGATAGTCTGTATACCACCGGATTCACAACCAGTATGTGCACCCACAGTCCTGTTCAATAATCTATCTACGCGGCAAATGAATTGTGTAGATTCTACAAAAAGAGTATCTGACCAGCGGAGCACTCCTGGTGTCACTCTGCCACAGCATGCAGAGATACAAAGAATGTAAAGTTGGTGCCAAGTTGCCATTTTTCATTGTTCACCTCAGATGGATTTTTAAGGGGTTTAGAATAATTGCCATACTCATGTGATCAGTTAACAAATTAACTGACTCGGTGGGGCTGCATAGTCTATAGGAAAGCTGCCACAAGAATGCTCATGCAATTTTGTTTTAAACTTGAAAAACTTCTATTTAAAAATGCAAGAGTGTGTCTGTGTGAGAGTGTGAGAGTTTGAGTGTGAGAAGTGTGCCTGTGTGTGTGTTGGGAGCTGGTGTTGGTGGTTTGAGGAGAGAATGCTTAAAGTGTGGAAACCTTCTGCCGGGACACTGGCAAAGGACGCTGATACGACAAGCTGTGTCCTTTGCCCACTTTCCCTCACTGTATACCGGTTTCTCTAGTTACCACTCTTGGAATGGTGCTGTTTCAGTGTTGGAATGTTGGACGTTTGATAAGAAAATGGATCAAGTTTAATGGCGCATGCTCTTTGTGCCACCAGCAGCCTCTTGCTGAGAGCATGCTCCAAAAGCGGGAACTGTGTGGCATTACACTGAGCATCTATATGCTTTGTGTTTCTGTGCCACAGAGAAGAGAAATGAACTGTGGCATCGTTCCTGCCTTCTGAGAAGCTCTGCTCCGGTTCTAAAAAAAAAAATCTCACTGTGTTCTTTGTAAAATGGTACTGCATAGTGTTTAGTTGGTCTGTCAAATATTTAAATATTAACTTAGGTGCCAGGCACCTTGGCCACATATGTTTTAAAGAATGAACAGTGCATAATTTTGGGGCAGGCATGAGGGAGGATGGGGCCAGAGGGAAAATACAAAATAAGATCTTATTTTCTTCATAGGAAAGAGACTCAACTTGTAAATTTTGGTTGGAGAGGGGGCAGCTTGGCATACTTTCTTTTTTTCCCCTCTTCTTGTCCTCCTATTTTGATCATTGTAAATGAGTGAAAAATGTTATTTTCATGCATAACTTTTTAATACTGATTTGAGGATGAGATGTTGCTTTATCTTTTGAGCATTTAAAATTAAACTGACTCTGTACCTTTTCTTTTCCCTCTCATCTTCCACAGGATGAATTTCACCCATTCATCGAGGCTCTTCTTCCACATGTCCGTGCAATCGCCTACACCTGGTTCAACCTGCAGGCTCGAAAACGCAAGTACTTTAAAAAGCACGAGAAGCGAATGTCAAAGGATGAAGAAAGAGCAGTCAAAGATGAGCTTCTCAGTGAAAAGCCTGAAATCAAACAGAAGTGGGCATCCAGGCTCCTGGCCAAACTGCGCAAAGATATCCGCCAGGAGTACCGAGAGGACTTTGTGCTCACCGTGACTGGCAAGAAGCACCCGTGCTGTGTCTTATCCAATCCTGACCAGAAGGGTAAGATTAGGAGAATCGACTGCCTGCGACAGGCAGACAAAGTCTGGCGTCTGGATCTAGTCATGGTGATCCTGTTCAAAGGCATCCCTTTGGAAAGTACCGATGGAGAGCGGCTCATGAAATCCCCACATTGCACAAACCCAGCACTTTGTGTCCAGCCACATCATATCACAGTATCAGTTAAGGAGCTTGATTTGTTTTTGGCATACTACGTGCAGGAGCAAGGTAGGAGCAGATTGTTCTTTCTTCTAGCAGGGCAAACATGATCCACAAACCTCCGTAGATGGAATATCTGGCTTGGGTTAGATGGTCCTTGGGGGCTCTAGATCACCTCTGTCTCTCTGGGTACAGTGGTGTACCCATCTCCATTCACATTCACTGCCATGTGCGGACCATGTAAATAGACATGGAGCTGTCTTATCTGGAAAGGTATTTAAAGAAAGAGCCAAAGATAGGAGTTTTTTGTTTTTAACATACGAACCGACATAGAGTACTCTAAAAAACAGTTTATTGAAACTTAGATTTCTGTGCTAGAAATCTCTGTCATATTTAGCTGTCTTTTCCCCATTTGAAAAGGTGACTTTATTTATGAATAGTCAAACTATTCTTTACAATCTTTGTGTTAGTCTCTTAACTAATGAGGTAGATGAACTTCATTCAGGAATTTAGGATTCTAGGATTGAGAACAGCACTTATTATTACAAAATGCTTAGGAGAGCTACTATCTGCTTGTGTAGACCTAGATTTATGTAGTTTTAATATTTTTAACAACACCTAATTTTGATTGTGCAATATTTGCTGCACATTTAGTACACTCTAGCTCTTGTTTAAATGATATGTGTTATTTTCCCAGAATGACTTGGGAACACTTTATATTGTTAGTCTACTTGAACATGAATTCTTGAAACTTACCAAAGAGGAAAGTCAAGGCTTTCCTTACAGAACAAAAACAGAAAGTAGACTGGTTACACTGGTTTAAAATAAATCCCAAAAAGAATGCAGAAACCGCATACCATACTAGTGTTTTAAAGTACTCCATAAAGAGTGTTATAAATGTTGCCTGAGCAATTCAAAATAGGCGATGTTGTTGCTGACTATTTGGTGAGTTCATGAAATATGTTTTCTGATGTTTTGATTTTTCTTAATGTATTTCCCTTAAGTAGATGAGAATTTCTTTTCTTCAAACCAGTGTGACAAGATGTAGATACCTTTGTATTAGCAACAGTCTTTAATACAATATCACTTAAAAAAGCAGCTTACCAAAAGTGGCGTGAAGTTTGAGCTGCCACAGATGAGTCATTTTGGAACTTGGCCTGGCCGGAGGAAAAATGGCCTTCAGATAGATAGTCAGGTGGCAGACAGTTACCTGATGTTCATTATAAAAATGGAGGATTTAATAAATTTCCAGGCACTTTAATGTCATCCCAAAACGTATAACAATGACTCTTTGGATCTAGAAATTTAGGTACTAACGATGAGCTGCTTTTTGACCTGGTATTTCCTTGGTTCAGGTTTAGAGATAGGCTTAAATGTCATTTAAAAATTTTCAGTATGATTTTAAATGATGGTGCTGGACATTATACATTTGAAATACACATATATGTATGTATATATGTATATATATATACATATGTATGTATATATATTTCAAATGAAATACTATATTTGCTATTTTCATGTATTTAAGAACTCAAGTTCAAATAATTATGGTTGGGAGAAAATATATTTTCATCCTGTGTATCCTAAAGTACAAGCTCATTAACACATGACAGTTAATTTGACTGACAGCTGTCTAGGAGGTGGCATGTGAAGGTGGGCTGTATGTATATGTTGGACTGACTACAAATGGTTTGTAACTGTATTGTAAAAAGTCAAGACTGGAAATCAAGTTTTAAAAGTGGGTCATGTAACTTTTTAGGGTAGAAAAGGAGGGTTTGAGATTACCCCACGGCTGCTCTCATTTTTAACTTGCTTGAAGGCTAGTCCTTGAGGTGTGCATGCACACATATTTACTCTCAGGGCAAGCAGCCAATTCTTTTAGTTTTGATGAACTGACAATAAAGTACATATCTTTTGGATTTGTGAGGATAGACTGAAAAAAGAAACCGTAAATATCTTCCACTTCACACCATTGGTCATGATGATCATAAAGTTTTTTTTAGCAACTCTTGAAGACCATATTTCAGACAAAACATTGATTTTGTTGTTGTCTTAGAAACTTCTTCTGTAAGAACTTTTCGTCATTTTATGCTGTGCCTTTAATAACATATCTTTTCTACTACCTGCCCCATGAATCATCTCCTCTTAACATCTGGTTGCTCTATTTTTGAAAAAGTCACATCAGAGTGCTTTTGTGTTTTCTTTTTTTCAAAATTTATTTCTTTTTATTTGTCAACCATAGGTTAACTATGTCATTTTTTTTGCAGTACAGTTGATTAAAGAAGGCAGGCAGATTTTAAAAGATGTCTGTAGTCTATCAGAGAGCTGCATATCTCACATCTCTAAGGACATGAAACCTACTTAAGTCTGTTTTCTAAATTAAGTAAAGAAGTATTAAAAAATGAAAGAAAAATTAGGAAGGAAAAACATAATGTTTGCAGCAGAATGAGCAACAAAATTACTTTTCCCAACCTCCTCCTTCCTCCTCCCCACTTCTAAAAGACTGGGAGAAAAAAAAAAACCATGAAAAAGAACAGAGAGAATGCCAAAGATGGTTGCCACTGGCACCAGGATTGGCATCGGACCCTCTTTGTTTAGCTCAGGATGCTTGTGATTTGTTAGTTGGCATCCGCATTGCAGTGTGGAGTGATGTTACAATATATTGACAATTTCCAGATCTAGAAATGTCAATAGTCCTCTTGGTTATTTATACAAGATCACATATTGCATCACTTTTGGAGGATGAAATAAAGACCAACATATAATAAAGTTCTATTGTTGACCAACTTCCCATGCTTTTCTTTCTCCCTCTTTCTCTTTTGGTTCAACCCGCACTTTTTTTTCCCCTTCTTCATGCACAGCAACCTCATCTTTTCTGAAATGTGGAAAGAGTTACTAGAGCTTTGACATCCATACTATACTGCTACATCTGTATCTGATAAGGGTTTTGGGAAAAATTATACATTCTGAAATCATTTTTGATTCATAGTTTATTAGGCTTTTGCATCACAGGGCAGTGTTTTCTTTAAAGCTCAATGCCTTTGTTATTCAGCTTCTTCTATGCTTATAGTCTGGTTGACCGCAATTCAATCCATTTTATTATTTCTTTAGACTAGCAAAAGATTGTGTTTATGTAGTTGTTTATAAACTACTCTACCTAAAATGCACACATCATTTAGGAGTAACTGTGTTTAAATCCATAAAATCATTTGACGTTATTGATTCAGAGGGCTGCGCTTCTGCTGTTCCGTTGCTACAAGAACCGCCATTTTGTTTGTGAAGTGCCAGGCGAGGGGGAAAAAAAAGGCAGACACTGTGTTTGATGCCAATAATGGTTGCCAGTGGCACCGAGGTTGGCATCAGACCCTCTTTGTCTAGTTGCTGAATGCCTTTGATTCGTTGGTTGGCATCCGCATTGCAGTGGGCACACTGGAAAGTTTTTGACAATCCCTGAATGAAAGCTGCTTGCTTGTTTGCTGCAGCAAACCTTAGCTAATATAAAATCCTTACCCCCCTTTTTTTGCTTTTTTTTAAAATAAAAGATTGTGACAGATTAAAAGAAAATAATAGCTCTGAAGTAGTCTTGAGTTTTCTAAAGATACTAAAGATGTCCAATGATTCTTGGTCAGGTAGTACCTATTCCCCATATTGTCTTTGTTATTACATTCAAAAAAGCAAAGCAAAGCAAAACAAGCTCTGTAGAGCACACCTTCCTGTGACACACATGTCCTATGCTATGACAAGCGTGTGAAGAACATGCCCCATGTAGTGATATGTACTGTATTCATTATGACTGACTTTTGGCTTTCAGTCACATCACTGCTTATTTCTGAAACAATTTCTAGTTTTCTCAATTTGCACCCTTCCCAGTTTTATAGTATCATGTTGAGGGGAACTTTCTCCTCCAGCCAGTGATGTGTAAGCATGTAAATGTGGAGCTATCAAAAGGAAACCTTACAGAAATGTACATGTTGAGATCTAATATAAATTAGTCACTCCCGAATTTTCAATTCTACATCAAAATGTTGCCAGATTCTTTTAGTGCATAATTCTGCATACTGGGAAAAGCAACCAAAAGGCTAAAATAATTTTGGTTGAAATTTCCTTGATAGTTAGAATTAATATTGCTTCGGTTAACCACCATTATCTCGTTAATTAATAAGAAGGATTAGCACTTCTACCCAAAGGGCTGCACCGAAGGAAGTCTGGCCTATGGGAGGCCTTGACTTGCCAGACTGTGTCCTGTCTGTAGAGAGGAGGGGCTGGCAGTGGTTATGGTGAGGGGACTGAGCTTTCTCTGAGTCAGAGAAGTGTTTAAAGAAAAAGAGAAAGGTCACAATACACCAAGAAGCTTAAAGATCTCAGGAGATAGGAACTGTTGGCATGAACATAACAGATTAGGGTTCAAACCAAGTCAGCCTAAGTGGTTTTTGAACTGTACTTTATACTCTTATTAAGCATGTTTTGGACTGTGACAGTTTAGCAAGCTTATTGCTATCATGAACAAGTACTTTAGCCCTTAAACTTGCAATCCATTTTTGGATGGCAACTTTTGTTGTTTTACTATTGAATGTTCTAATAATTGAAGGCTATTTTGAACTGGTGAAAAATGTGACTTGTTTACAGGGGAAGTTGTAATCATTATTGTTTTAGAAATAAAACCCTTCCTGGTTGTCACATGTTATTAGTGAGGAAGTAAATGCGAAGAGTTATTTTCCTCCTTCAGTTACCGAATCTCAGAATCCTTTTGGGTAACAGTTATTTCTTTATGAAAAGCCTAAGTAGATAATTGTGCGCAAGTTGACAGTGCATTTTAACATTTTAATAAATTTCACTTCATTTGCAGGTATTTGCCATTATGGAAGAAAATAAGCTCTCATAACTTGTTAACATGAGGCTGCTCTGCAGGATGATGATTTGATGTGCTTGCATTGTGAAGTGCTCAGAGAGCATGAAGTTTGTGTGTAGGAGAAATACTTTGTATGCATATTTGATTTAGGGAGCCCTGTTAAGTTTTCCCATCCAGCACCTTGTCCTTGACTGAACTCGTGAACTCTAGTACACAT